CTATATTAAATTTATGATTTCGCCCGCAACAGTAAATATTTATTTACCTACACGTAAATTTTCTGTTGTAGCGTGCCGAATACATAAATTGAATATAGTTTATTTATTTTATCGAATGTAATATCATTTTTCGTCACACTTGTTGATATCAGAAAATTTTGTTAAAGGCGCGTTCGCCACTACTTTTTACCTCGTTAAGAGGTTTTTTTTGTTTGATATCACAAGTTTTTTTTGCACAAGAGCTTAAGTACCCCAATACCATGACTAGGAGTCGTCCCCATGAATATTAAACTTTTAAATAACAAGTTTTATCGCTTCAATTACCTATTTTAATTTCACAAGTTTGGAATCTCAAGGGCTGTATAGTCTCAGATTCCAAGAGAAACCTGTCGTTTCTTATATTTCCCGCCGAACTAGCGGGTTTTTCCAAAGTGGTAGAACAATTATTATCAAGTTTCTTTTTTCGATTAGCTTCATGCAAGTAAAGCACCCTAAAACCATAACAGATTTTCCGTTTGAAAAAATCCAATAAGAACATTTTTTACCTAATTGGTTTTTTTCTTGCTTAGCTGGGAGCTGAAACGAGTTGCACTTTTTATCGCTTAATATCTTCCAAACGGTAATTTTTAGGGCAAAAAGTGTTACATATCAACGGTTGAGGAATGTCAAGGGCTATAAGATTTGAAATTTAAAAAAAAATCGTTCGACTCAATTTTGAGAAAATAGTCAAAAAGTGGTTTTAAAAAATAACTTTTTGTCATAACTTGAAATCTATTATATTCAGCAAATTAAATTATCTTTTTAGAGATATACAGCACGTTTTTGTAGCATTAGTTGTTTAGAAACTATATGCATTTTAAATCGGGCTTTTTCTTTGGATTTTCCGCTAAGCTATCGGGTTTTTTTTAAAAATCGTAGAACAAACGTTTTCTAAATCAAGCTACTTTATACACCCATAGGGTTTCCAAAACCATAAAACTAAGATGGGATGCATACAAGCCCACAAACGACAAACATTTTCATTTTGGGAAGAAGAAGAAAATCTTGTTTTTGAATTACTTTTGAACGGGACATCGGATTTCAACAAATTAGGTGCAATCGACGCGTATTCTCAGTAAGAATAAAACTAGCTAAACAGCCGGCGGCTTTTATCCCCACCGTATCCAGCAGCTCCAAATTTTTAAATTTTTACTTTTAGACTTTCACCGCCTTTTCTCCCAAACAAATCTATATTTCAAAAGTCTTGGTGTGCAATATTCTTAGTTAGTGCGATACCTTTCGATTGGTGTATCACTCGTTACGATCGGACCATAATGGCAGATTTTCAATTCTGCGGCTATATATAGTAGTTGTCTTTGCACGCTCTCTTGCGCGCTTCGCCACTACGTGTACTGCCGTCCACAGTGATAGTTGCCCGATCCGGCTTGTTCCGACTTATATGTATACTGCCTGCAAAAGATATAAGACTTTTAGGAAAGTTTCAGCCCGATAGCTTTAAAACTGAGAGACTAGTATGCGTAGAAACGGACGGACAGACGAACAGACAGACAGACGGGCAGATGGCTGGATCGACTCGTCTAGTGATGCTGATCAAGAATATATATACTTTATGGGGTCGGAAACGTCTTCTTCCCTGCCTTGCAAACTTCTGACTGAAATCATTATACCCTCTGCAAGGGTATAAAAAGGCAAAAACATTCATATTTATGTATGTTTGCTAAACATGAACAATCTTAAAGCGTATTATGTACATATACTTATATCTAAATGTTTGCATTAGTTGTTGAAAAAAATATTTGGTCGAAAAGCTTTGTTTAAAAGAGTTATATTGCCGCGCAGCTTGGCTAGCAACTGTTAGCACACACACATGCATAAACACAGTTTTCATTGACTGGCTCTGGCGTCATTGCGTTTCTTCTTTTAAGGCGAGTGATCTTTAGAGTGGGCGTGGACAACTTTATTTAAATCCATTGATAGGTACTGACGAGATCAATACATTTGAGCTACAATTTTTTTCTAGCATGAAATTTGAGGGCGCCACAGATTTGGGAGGCTTGTGGGTGTTAGAGAGGGCGTGGAGCACTTTATTTAAATCAATCGATTCCAGTTAAAATTTTTATCATCAAAACTGTGAGCGCCACATTTTCGCGCGGCTTTTTCCTGATTATTCCTATGGGACCTATAAGATATCAAACAAAAACACCTCTTAACGAGGTAATTAGTAGTGGCGAAAGCGCCTTTAACAAAAATTTCTGATATCAACAATTGTGACGAAAAATGATATCACATTCGATAAAATAAATAAACTATATTAAATTTATGATTTCGGCCCGCAACAGTAAATATTTATTTACCTACACGTAAATTTTCTGTTGTAGCGTGCCGAATACATAAATTGAATATAGTTTATTTATTTTATCGAATGTAATATCATTTTTCGTCACACTTGTTGATATCAGAAAATTTTGTTAAAGGCGCGTTCGCCACTACTTTTTACCTCGTTAAGAGGTTTTTTTTGTTTGATATCAGAAGTTTTTTTTGCACAAGAGCTTCAGTACCCCAATACCATGACTAGGAGTCGTCCCCAAGCTATATAAGCTATCGGGTTTTTTTTAAAAATCGTAGAACAAACGTTTTTTAAATCAAGCTACTTTATACACCCATAGGGTTTCCAAAACCATAAAACTAAGATGGGATGCATACAAGCCCACAAACGACAAACATTTTCATTTTGGGAAGAAGAAGAAAATCTTGTTTTTTGAATTACTTTTGAACGGGACATCGGATTTCAACAAATTAGGTGCAATCGACGCGTATTCTCAGTAAAAATAAAACTAGCTAAACAGCCGGCGGCTTTTATCCCCACCGTATCCAGCAGCTCCAATTTTCTAAATTTTTACTTTTAGACTTTCACCGCCTTTTCTCCCAAACAAATCTATATTTCAAAAGTCTTGGTGTGCAATATTCTTAGTTAGTGCGATACCTTTCGATTGGTGTATCACTCGTTACGATCGGACCATAATGGCAGATTTTCAATTCTGCGGCTATATATAGTAGTTGTCTTTGCACGCTCTCTTGCGCGCTTCGCCACTACGTGTACTGCCGTCCACAGTGATAGTTGCCCGATCCGGCTTGTTCCGACTTATATACTGCCTGCAAAAGATATAAGACTTTTAGGAAAGTTTCAGCACGATAGCTTTAAAACTGAGAGACTAGTATGCGTAGAAACGGACGGACAGACGAACAGACAGACAGACGGGCAGATGGCTGGATCGACTCGTCTAGTGATGCTGATCAAGAATATATATACTTTATGGGGTCGGAAACGTCTTCTTCCCTGCCTTGCAAACTTCTGACTGAAATCATTATACCCTCTGCAAGGGTATAAAAAGGCAAAAACATTCATATTTATGTATGTTTGCTAAACATGAACAATCTTAAAGCGAATTATGTACATATACTTATATCTAAATGTTTGCATTAGTTGTTGAAAAAAATATTTGGTCGAAAAGCTTTGTTTAAAAGAGTTATATTGCCGCGCAGCTTGGCTAGCAACTGTTAGCACACACACATGCATAAACACAGTTTTCATTGACTGGCTCTGGCGTCATTGCGTTTCTTCTTTTAAGGCGAGTGATCTTTAGAGTGGGCGTGGACAACTTTATTTAAATCCATTGATAGGTACTGACGAGATCAATACATTTGAGCTACAATTTTTTTCTAGCATGAAATTTGAGGGCGCCACAGATTTGGGAGGCTTGTGGGTGTTAGAGAGGGCGTGGAGCACTTTATTTAAATCAATCGATTGGTATACATACATACATTCCAGTTAAAATTTTTTATCATCAAAACTGTGAGCGCCACATTTTCGCGCGGCTTGTGGGCGTTAAAGTGGGCGAGACAAACTTGCACTGCGGACAAAGCTAAGAGATCTAAATCTAAAATCGCAACTCTCTAGATCTTATAGCTTCCGAGATCACAGCGTTTACACGGTCAGAAGGAAAAAGTGACTTTGCTAGATCGACTCGGCTAGTTATTCTTATCAAGAATATATATACTTAAGGGGTCGGAAACGCTTTCTTCTACCTGTTACATACTATTCCTCAAATAGAATATTCCTTTTACTCTACGAGTAACGGGGTCGGAAACGCTTTCTTCTACCTGTTACATACTATTCCTCAAATAGAATATTCCTTTTACTCTACGAGTAACGGGCATAAATACTTTTTAATAATAATTAAATACACACTTGATCAAAAATCGTGTATTAACTTAAAGTTGTAGAAAAATGTTCAAAAAATGTACATTTAAAAAAAAGCTTTCACGTTATCAGCGTAGTTCTATTATCCTTTGTATTTTGCATGCCAAGTATAAAACTAAAACGGAAAACTTCTACCGACAAAAAAGGCAAGAATCAAAATATCGTTAGTCCTAAAATGTTCACCACATTGTTTTTTGCTGTTGCGAAAATCTTCGCGTCCCCCCGACTACATCTTATCTCTTTGAATGTTCAAATAATTAGGAATTAAACAAGATCCTGACTGTAAGGACAGATGCTTATAAAGGTCTTTTTGTAGTTATATGAAAAAAGGTTGCTACAAGCACGATTATCAAAACCTTTTTTTGGAAACTGGACAGATTACAGGCATTGTTTGGCATTTTTCCGGATAAGGATTTAAAAAAACACAGATCTCTTCGGAAAAAGACAACACTGAAGCACTGACTTCTGGTACTCAGCCAATTAAATATATATTAATAAGAAAAATATTAGAATATTTTTCATGGTTTATTTGGCGAGATTCTAAAACATATCTTTTTTTTAAGTAAGTAAGATAATGAAATGACTTCTACCGACTTTTATATTTCACTTTTATTTGTTTAACAGATTTTTTTGATCATTTTTGTGTTAGGGCTTGGATTTAGCATTGGTTTTATCGGCGTAACACGGGACGATCATTTTTTCATATAGGTTTGCCAAAATGGAAATATAAAAAACTAACCAATTTTAAGCTGACATGATTAAACCGTGCGGTATGTTATCATCAAATTACTCTTAATTGTGTTTTTGGCAAACCACTTATGATTTTGAAGTCAGCTCGCGGTAATTTTACGATGGCTTATACAATCGCGTGTATTTACTACTTGATTTCCATTTAACCGTAGCGGTAAAAGCTCTGATTGGGACTGAAACAATGTTGAAATGCAGAAAACTGATAGCCTAAGCAGATTTAAAAAGGGTGCACATTGAGTTCTCCAACTTATAAAGACGACGCTCTGTTGCGCCACTCCGAGAGCTGGGGAGAGTAAATAAAATTCTGCCATTGGTTAATTTCAATAATAGGGGTTGGAGGGAGTATACAGTGTGGATATTGCTTTGCATAAATAACAATACTTACCACCACGTGGTTGTGGGTTTTATGTATGCTTAGTTTTTTGAAAATCTACCAAAGTTAGTTAGACAGAAAGTCATCAAGTAGTCTCATAATAAAAGTAATTGTACACTTAAGAATTTTACATACATGTTTTTTTCTTAATCTATGGTCGTGGACTTTCTAAAGAAATACTAACTGCTTAAAAAGTTTATATATAACGAAAACCATAAACAAATAAAGTATATCTATTTTTTCTATAAAATCTATCCGTATGGGTGCAGTGATCTCGAAAACTATAAGCTTTACCGCCCAAAAAACCGCACAAGTTTGTGGCGCCGATATTTTCAAAGATTTATTTTCCACCTAAATGTTACATTATTTCGTTTGTCACTACCATCGACACCTTAATAATTGTTTAAATGAACCATACATTTATCAGTTATGACTTTAATTTGAAGAACATTGTCAGAAGATATGAGTAAGTGTAAGCATCTAAATATGTAAACTATATAAAAATGTAAGCATCGATGTTTCTTCGCCTCCAACCAAATGAAGAGGAGAGTGCGGTAAGGATAGTTAAGGGGTAAGGATAGTTTGTGGCCCTACCGCCTAAGCGCCTCGTTTAAAATGCGCGCCGTTTTTAATGAAAGTACCTTAGTACACCAGAGGCCGACACTACTAATTTGAGCTTTAAGCGCCATCAGTTGAAGAATGTTTTAATGGATTTCTGTAAATGTCAGATTTAATAAAACAAAATTTCGTTCGAGACACTTTATTGGAGATTTAGTCGCTCGCTAGATTTTTAAATGCAAGATTTTTAAAAAGTCAAAGTTGAAGGTAATATTTCGTAATGCGGATTATGTTGAAGTAAGTATACACCATTCGGCATTAGTATTTTGACAAAACAAGAGATAAATACCCTCATAATTTGAACTTACTACAATACATTTTAACATCATTAATATTTCGTCACTTATATTTCGTTTGAATAATTAAACTTTTTCTTAACCCATTTATTACTAATTCAAAATGACGAAATCTTGTGATTGTCTACACTGTACGTTTTTTTTCTAGGCTTGGAAAGAAACATTATATAACGCAAAAGGTTTCTTCAGACAAAACTAACAATAATTGCAAGAAAACAAGGAAGAACGCTATAGTCGAGTACCTCGACTATCAGATACCCGTTATTTAGCTAAATAGAGATATGCAAGTAGCAAAGCGAGATTAAAATGCGCCACCTACCGGCGGTATACAGATTTAAGCGTTATGGGCGTTAGAGTGGGCATGGCAAATTTGTTTTTGGACCAATCGATAGGTATTGACGAGACCAATACATTTCAGTTAAATTTTTTTATCTAGCATGAAAAGTGTGGGCGTCACAGTTTTTCTCGGTTTGTGGGCGTGGCAAACTTTTTTTTGGGTCAATCGATAGGTATTGATGAGAACAATACATTTCAGTTAAAATTTTCTATCTAGCATCAAAACTGTAGGAGCCACAGTTTTGGGCGGTTTGTGGGCGTTAGAGTGGGCGTGGCACTGTACTGAAACAAACTTGCGCTGCGCAGGAATCTCAGGAATCTGCGTGCCTAATCCCAGTATTGTAACTCTCATAGTTCCCGAGATCTCAGCGTTCATACGGACAGACGGACAGACGGACATGGCTAGATCGACTCGGCTAGTGATCCTGATCAAGAATATATATACTTTATGGGGTCGGAAACGCTTCCTTCTGCCTGTTACATACTTTCCGACGAATCTAGTATACCCTATTACTCTACTAGTAACGGGTATAATTAATGGCCGTGGAAAAAAGTTTAAAAAGAAGACTATCAAAATTATTAGACATTTTTAATAAGTGCCAAATGGGTTAAGAATAGGCTTGTATCATTCAAACGGAATTCAGGTGACCTTTCCATCGATGCCATAAAGTACACAAAGTATGTTCAATCTACGAGTATACTTAACTATTGATTCGTCAAAATACTTATGCCGAGTGGTGTATACTTTTCATGGTGCCAGTGTTGATTACACCTGTCAACGAAAACTCAATGACCCAAAATGTAGTAATACTAAGCCAAGCGGATAAATGCGGTCGGGGACGTCCAAAAAGAAAATATGTCACCGCCGAATTTTTAGGGGATAATGATATTCTGAAGATCAATCAAGAAAAAAATTAAATTGGTATAAATGGGGTCCATGAAATGAATTGTTCTCGTCAATACCTATCGATTGACATACAAAATTGTTGTCACTTTAACGCCACTAACACCCATAATCTTCAAAAAATCATATATATGAACAGTGATGTCTCGGAAAGTATCAAAGATAGAGTATTAGGATTTAAGATTAAGATTGGTTATATTCGTAAGCGCCGTACGTTTGCCAGCCCACTCAGTTTTCATGCTAGAAAAAAATTTCAACTGAAATGTTTGTCTCGTCAATACCTGTCGATTGACCTAAAGAAATTTAGCCACGCCCACTCTAACGCCCACAAACGCCCACAACGCTTATAAATGTTTGCCGCCCACATAACCATATATTTAAAACGCGGGTAGGTGGCGCCATAAAATCTCGCTTAGCTGCTTGCATATCTCCACTTCCCTTTAGTCCCATTAGCTGAGTAACGGGTATCTGAAAGTCGAGGTACTCGACTACAGCGCTCTTCCTTGGTTTTATACCCGTTACTCGTAGAGTAAAAGGGTATACTAGATTCGTCGGAAAGTATGTAACAGGCAGAAGGAAGCGTTTTCGACCCCATAAAGTATATATATTCTTGAAACGTATTGTTCTCGTCAATACCTATCGATTGACCCAAAAAAATGTTTGCCACGCCCACTCTAACGCCCACAAACCGTCCAAGCCTGTGGCACTCTACGGTAGCGTTCTTCCTTGTATCATTTTAAAAACTTAAATCGCTGCCCCGATCAAGATTATAAACATTGAATTCAATGGCACAATGGCTAAACTAACAAGGAAGAACGCTATAGTCGTTACTCAGCAAATGGGACCAAAGGGAAATGGTGGTATGCAAGCAGCAAAGCGAGATTAAAATGCGCCACCTACCGGGGGCAGATAGATCTACAGGTATTGACGAGATTCGAGTAACGGGTATACAAATTTAAATTGTTTAGCATTTTTTAAGAATTTTTAATTAATTCTTTAGATTTGTTGCGTAACTGATACAGAGGAAGCCAACAGGGTAGGAGCGATGAGAGCGATCACTACAAGAAAACACCAAATGGATTACTTTTGGCTGGTTGAATTTCGATGGACTCGACTTTCAGATTCCCGTTACTTAGGTAAAGGGTGTGTAAGAGAGAAGCAGGTATGCATACAACAAAGACCCTAGATGGTGTGATTTACAATCTCGGAAACAGAATGCAGAGACTCACACTTTATTTAAAACAAGGAGGAACGCTATAGTCGAGTACCTCGACTATCAGATACCCGTTACTCAGCTAAATAGAGATATGCAAGTAGCAAAGCGAGATTAAAATGCGCCACCTACCGGCGGTATACAGATTTAAGCGTTATGGGCGTTAGAGTGGGCGTGACACATTTTTTGGACCAATCGATAGGTATTGACGAGACCGATACATTTCAGTTAACATTTTTTATCTAGCATAAAAATTGTGGGCGTCACAGGCTTTCGCGGTTTGTGGGCGTTAGAGTGGGCGTGGCATATTCGCGTAACAAACTTGCGCTGCGTATAAGGCTACGGAATCTAAATCTGAAATCTCAATTCTCTATCTTTGATAGTTTCCGAGATATCCACGTTCATATTTACGATTTTTTGAAGTTTGTGGGCGGTTTATGGGCGTTAGGGTGGGCGTGGCAAACATTTTTTTGGGTCAGTCGATAGGTATTGATGAGAACAATACATTTCAGTTAAAATTTTTAGCATCAAAACTGTAGGAGCCACAGTTTTGGGCGGTTTGTGGGCGTTAGAGTGGGCGTGGCACTCTACTGAAACAAACTTGCGCTGCGTAAGAAGCTCAGGAATCTGCACGCCAAATCTCAATAGCCTAGCTCTTATAGTTTCCGAGATCTCAGCGTTCATCCGGGCAGACGGACATGGCTAGATCGACTCGGCTAGAGATCCTGATCAAGAACATATATACTTTATGGGGTCGGTAACGCTTCCTTCTGCCTGTTACATACTTTCCGACGAATCTAGTATACCCTTTTACTCTACGAGTAACGGGTATAATTATTTAAGTATACATCGACTGGGTAACAATTATGTGTGCTGTAAGCTAGTTCCGCAGAAAGAGTGGAAGCTATAGATAAAAATACAATTTTTAATATCTGATATCTGGCCAGAGTTTTTTATGTCCACAGCTGTATTCTTTGTTTTCAGTGACTTCGTCGAATGGTAAAGGTAACGAAACCAATTGCAACCGTTGCTAGTTCCAGAACATTGTAATCGATTATATGAATTCAACGGCAGCGAGAAATTTAGGCTTTTAAAGATCAACGGGTATCGCTTTTTCCCATCCATTATGATATATACATACCTTGTCATCTATACGACGAATTTTTTAGTGAGGTCAAGTATATATATGGCTCTTTAGGCTGTTTTTTAACAGACCCAACTCTATTGAAAACTTGTGTACAAGTTTTTATATCCTTGGAGCAAAAATTGTAAGACTTCGTGTGACGGGCTGGTACGTTTAACTGCTTGAATATGCTGACGCAGTCTTTCAGTAAGACGGTGTTGGTTTATTGTACGAAGAATTAATTTGCGAGATGATGATGAATGGTAGTGCCTAAAAGATTCTGAGTAGGCGATTC